ACTGCCTCACTCCCAGGTGTTGCTTGAGCGCCTATTCACTGCCCCACTCCTAGGTGCTGCTTTAGCGCCTTCTCTACTATAGCAAGCATTATAGTAATATACTATTCTACCCTATCAGAAGGTGACCACTGGCGAATCCCCGCTGTCGTATGTTTTTGATTCTGCGATTTTTTTGGCGTAGTTTGCCCAAGTCACGTGGGCAGATGTTCAATCTTTATTTGTATGTGCAGATTGCAGCCAATAGCACGCTGTGATTCAGTAGCTGCGTTGGTAGTCATGCCACAGTTGTAACAAGTGATTTTTTTTTTACAAATTTCGTATATTGGCAGTTCTTATAAGCTTCTATGAGAAATTAATGACAACTGCGACGAAATCTTTTCCCATGAAGTGCATACTTACTAAGAGCGAACCAAGGAAAAGAAGGCTTCTCCGCAGCGGGCCGACGAAAATCCGAGGTGGTGGTCTGTGCACGAAGTAGCTTGGCCTCCGCGAAAATCCACGCGAAAAAGTTCGAGATCAGTGCTTTGCCAATTGCAACACCACCACCCACCACAATAATCGCCATGGCTCTCGTGCAGACGGATCCCGACGCGTATGTGATCAAGCCCGAGGCGGCTGCGCCTGCCATCGACACCAGCGACTGGCCGTTGCTACTCAAGAACTACAGCGACTGTATGCTGCAGCTCCCCATATAGCTACGGTTTACTCTGCTAATGCACATTTAGTGCTCGTTCGCACTTCCCATTACACTCCCATCCCCAATGGATGTGCGCCGTTGTCGCGAGACCTCAAGTCGTACATCAGCTCTGGTGTCATCAACTTAGACAAGCCTTCCAACCCATCCTCGCACGAAGTCGTGTCATGGATCAAGCGCATGCTCAGGTAGGAAAAATACCGTTATAGCTGTCGCATGCAATTTTAGCTGACACTGCCCAAAGGGTTGAGAAGACTGGTCACAGTGGTACCCTTGACCCCAAGGTCACTGGCTGTCTCATTGTCTGCATCGACCGCGCCACCCGTCTCGTCAAGTCCCAGCAGGGTGCCGGAAAGGAGTATGTGTGCGTCATCCGCCTGCACGACAAGCTTCCTGGTGGCGAGGCGCAGTTTGCGCGTGCTCTTGAGACCCTCACCGGAGCTCTTTTCCAGCGACCTCCGCTCATTTCTGCTGTCAAGCGTCAACTCCGTATTCGAACCATCCACGAGAGCAAGCTGTACGAGTTTGACAATGAGAGGCAGCTCGGCGTGTTCTGGGTGAGCTGCGAGGCCGGAACCTACATCCGTACTCTCTGCGTGCACTTGGGTCTTTTGCTCGGCGTCGGTGCCCACATGCAGGAGCTGCGCCGTGTGAGGAGTGGAGCCATGGACGAAACCAAGGACCTTGTCACTCTGCACGACGTTCTTGACGCTCAATGGCTGTACGACAACAACCGCGACGAGGCTTACCTGCGCAAGGTCATCTCTCCTCTTGAAAGCCTCTTGATGAGCTATAAGCGTGTCGTTGTTAAGGACAGCTCGGTTAACGCCATCTGCTATGGTGCTAAGCTCATGCTGCCTGGTCTGTTGCGATTCGAGAAGGGTATCGAGATCCACGAGGAGATTGTCCTCATGACCACCAAGGGTGAGGCCATTGCGCTCGCCTATGCGCAGATGTCGGCTGTCGAGATGTCCACTTGCGATCATGGTGTTGTTGCTAAGATTAAGCGTGTCATCATGGAGCGCGACCTTTACCCCAGGAGGTGGGGCATGGGCCCAGTCGCCACTGAGAAGAAGAAGATGAAGGAGGCAGGCACCCTTGATGTAAGAAGCCAACTTCTTGATCTGGAAAACTCTATGCTAACAAATGTAGAAATTCGGTCGTCCCAACGACAAGACGCCCGCCAAGTGGAATACCGAGTACAAGGACTTCAACAGGACTGATGTTGATGGCGCATCCGCACCTTTGGCTCAGACTACATCGACTTCCGACGTTCTTGCTGCTCCTCCGGTCGCACCGACTGGAGAGACTGAGGCCGAGGCCGAGGTCAACGGTGCTTCCGACGGAGAGGAGAAGAAGAGCAAGAAGCGAAAGAGCCGAGGCGATGCCGAAGAAGAGGCTGACGAGGACAAAGCTGAGCGCAAGCGCAAGAAGAAGGAAGAGAAGGCTGCAAAGAAGGCTGCAAAGAAGGAAAAGAGGAAGAGCAAGGGCGGTGATGACAGCGACTCCGACTAAACGATTAATACGTAACCCATGGACGTCCGAATAGCAACTAGCGCTCGATTGCTGTTGTTTGTGCGAGCGCTATACACGAAAATCGTATACATGTCATAGCTACTGATACTACTACTCTATCCTTGGATACCAGCTTCTTCACTGTAGCATATGGAAAAAGGCGTTTGGGAATTTGGGCATTTAGGCGTTTGGCGCGTCGAAGCTTCTGCGACAGGGGTGGTCGACTATGTGTTGAAGTGCGAACGTTCACTGCTAAATATGTTCAATCCATTGTTTCAATTAATTATGCGCAATTCTGCTGGGCCTGAATCCGTGATGCTTGCGTGACTGCTCCACACCATGCGCATCGCATGTCTAACCTAATAGTTGCTGCAAGGACACAGAGTACTCGATTTATAATTGCATGTAGCATTTGCTGGCCATTCCCGGGTCTCGATTGAAGTGCAGGATGCAGTTATCGGTGAAGATTGCTCAGCTTAGTAGTGGACTTGTATACGAATGCAGCTATTGCATTCTCAAGCGATTCTCATGTACGTGTATTTATCGGATGTCTATTTCGGCCCACTTTATCTGGCTATATATATGTACCGGACCCAATCACCAGAATCTTGAGCGAACCTACCAGTCAAGTCCACATGCAGGGGGAGATCACAGGGATCATATTGCAGTCCTACCGATGGAGTCGGGCAGGAGCTTGGGGAAAATCAGACGTGTCTATCTCATAAAAAGCAGTGTTCATGACGCCTCTATTTCTCTTTACTTTTTCAATGTGCTACGTGTTTCTTCCTGGGACACGACAAGCAGTACTGGAATGACTGTTTTCCTTTGGATTCCATCAACACAGGATTACTGATGGTGGGGCATTGGGCAAACTGCACTATGAACAGTGTGCTTGTCGTAACCCTTGAATAAACGTCATATACATCATATGCATCATGGCGCGTCGTGATTCTTCAGTTTGAGAAGTGCTGGTATACTACTAGTTGAGGTAAAAGCGTGGTGTCGTATGTGTGTAGGTCGACTTGGAAGGGGCCGCCGTCGCGCGTTACACGAGGCGCGATAAATTACTGCCCAAGATATCGGCAATTGTGCATGCTCCTAATTATTGAGACTCGAATAAGATATTCAAAGCGCATAATTTCAGACAATGGTGATTGTGATCGGGGTTTGAGTGAGATATGGCAGCGTGATTGAAGCTTCTCGAAGCTTCTCTTTGAGGTTCCGAGTTGCGCGAGAGGGCCCGACGTCACCGCTAGCGTCGATTGCCAGGTGGAGAGACGTTCGAAGCTCTTGAGCGATAAAAGCGACGACAACCTCGTCACCACAAAGTACTCCCTACCAAGAAACTAGTCGCACACCCAAAAGATTCCTTTTTCATTACTTATTGCCGGTCAATATGGTCAAGGAAACTAAACTCTACGAAGCACTAGGTACGTTTGCTCGAGCTGCCCCTCCACAGTCATACCTTGCTCGGTAGTCAACTGGGCAGCCTGATCGAGGACCGCGGGTAGACACATGAGCTTTTGCTAACATCTTGTTACAGGCATATCGGAATCAGCGACGCAAGACGAGATCAAGAAAGCATATCGGAAAGCGGCGCTGAAGTGGCACCCCGACAAGAACAAGGACAACCCGCAAGCCTCGGAGAAGTTTAAAGGTACGTCACTCACTCACCTCACCCTATAAAACTATACTAACAGCACTTCCAGAATGCTCACAGGCTTATGAGATCCTCTCTGACCCCGAGAAACGTAAGACGTACGATCAATATGGCCTAGAGTTCCTACTACGCGGCGGCGTACCACAAGAGGATGCTGGGGGCCCTGGAGGCAATCCGTTTGCAGGCGCAGGAGGCCCCGGAGGATTCCCGTTCACATCATCTGGTGGCATGCCCGGCGGCACACGAACATTCCATTTCTCGACAGGCGGCGGCGGAAACGGCTTCAACTTCTCAAATGCCGACGACATCTTTGGCGAATTCATGCGCAATAGCGCTGGTGGCGCTGGCGGCGGCGATGACTTCGATTTTGGCGGCTTTGGCATGGGCGGAATGCCTGGTGGAATGGGTGGAATGCCTGGTATGGGTGGTATGGGCGGAGGCGCCGGTGGAAAAGGCGGTAGATTCCGAGGCGGTCGACGAGCACCAGAGCCTGAAGTCACAGTCGTTGAGAAGCCACTGGCAGTCAGCTTGGAAGAGCTTTACAACGGTACCACCAAGAAGCTCAAGATCAAACGCAAGACATACGACCAAAGCACAGGCAAGCAGAGCACTCAAGATCGGATCCTCGAAGTACCAATCAAGAAGGGTTTGAAGCCGGGAAGCAAGATCAAGTTCTCAGACGTTGGCGACCAAGTCGAGGGTGGAACACAGGATTTGCATTTTATTGTTTCCGAGGTAAGCCACATTTGAATCTCCCGTTTTCCATTATGATAACACGTGCTAACAACTGGATTAGAAACCCCACGCAATGTTTACACGCGAAGGCGATGATATTAAGCATATCATTGAACTCGACCTTAAAGAAGCTCTCACGGGCTGGCGCCGAACTGTACAAACCATCGACGGTAAACAACTCAGCGTTGGCAGTGGCGGTCCTACCGGCCCCAACTGGACAGAAAGATACCCCAACTTGGGTATGCCCAAATCCAAGAAGCCAACAGAGCGCGGAGACTTCATTGTTGGTGTCAAGATCAAGTTCCCCACGAGCTTGACAAGCGCACAAAAGGAGAAGTTGAAGGAAATTCTATAGGGCAGCCGCAATGCCGGCATTCTGATTCTCGTACATCTTTTTCCTTTTCTTAATTTTGCTTTGGGATTATACAGCTCAAATTGAGCGAGGGGCGCCGGGTGGAGTTTTCACATCTTTTTCACGTCCTGGAGGAAAGCGCCCAGAGAAAATGCATACTGGTGCTGAAATGGGAGGATAAATTACGAAGTCACGCGTCTATGATAGACGAATCTATGAATTGCATTCCGATACGCACTTTTTTTTTCTGGTTGAATTTCTGAACATTCAATGTTAGGATGTGTACATTTGATTTACAATGTGACCAAGTCATACAGTATTGCTTCCGCAGATACGCGACATTGCCCAGATATGTGACGTCATATCCAGCCATCCTAGCCTTGTTTTCTGTCATAAACTGTAACTTTCTGTTGGGAAAATCCATGTCACATACGCAGCAAATAGTATGCAATTGTATTCAAATGAATATCGGAAGAGCCATTAACGCTCGAGATATAACGAAGTACCTGAAGGTGCCTGACTGCAACTGGCTTAATATCCATCTTGCAATTATTGGTAGGTTCCATGTATACAGAGCGATAACGTACACATTGGATTCTGGGTCTCCACTGGTATATTTGAGTTCTCACATGCTTACAAGTGACCCTTTTATTGAACTCAGACTGAATCTCGGTACAAATCATTTTTGTAGTGACCGCCTCCAGTGGCATGAGTTTCGCTGTGCAATGTCAACTCGGCATAGATTGCGGGCACAGAAACTCTTCGTTATTGTAGCTTGTCCAGAAATGCGGTGTGATGGTTATCGTAGGTGTGCAAGCTACACTTTGAGCACTCATCCGCGGAGGCTTCAAACTGCCGCCCGTGACACAACATGTGCTGTTGTGTAAGGATGTGTAATATCCGCAACGCACAACAATACGTTGCAATTGAGTCTTATTAGACATGGGGTATGCCAGTCTTAGTGCAGACGAATCAGCTATCCTGATTCTATGTTCAACCCATCACTCCTTGATGACATTTACATTCAAATATGCTATGCTTTCAGCAAGAACTTGCAGATGTTCTCTATCCTGGACTGAAGATCATGTGGGTTGATCCATACGAGACATTCACTCTCGCCACACAAGAGTTGTTTTCGCGTTTCCCTTGGGTCGTTTGCATGCCGCCTTTCACCGCCGGTGTGCTCCGGAACAATATGATTTGCCGAGACCTACAAACAGAGTGATACATATACAATCTGCCAAAATACCGAAATCACTCCTGACTCACACGAAAGACCAAAACACCCAAATGATGACAGATTTCGCACTGCTACCGCCACAGGAGGAGTAAGTTGATGTTTAATAGCACCTTTACATACGTACGTACTGAAGCTTTCTAGGAAGGATAATGTATGCCTCGAAGAACTGCTTGCGAAGCTACACCGGAATGTATTTGTGACACCATCCCTGGTCACTGCCATTGCAAAGCATGCTTCCTCCCTCGGTGAGAGCATTTGCAAGGACTACAATGACTTGAATAAGATCATTATTCGACACGAAGCGACAATACGGAAAAGGTGGTTGAAGAAGACTCAGGTTCAACGGCGAGATATTCTGCTCAAGGCGTGGCCGAACATGCCACAAACGCATCGCCCAGACTACACAGAAGTCAATGGTTCTCTCAACTACCATAAACTGTCAAATAACCTGAGAGAATGTTTGGGTACCGACGACAAGAAGACCCCACCATCAGCATCTAAAATATGGCCCTTCATCAACCTCGAAGATCTTACAAAACCGAAGACTTTGCTGATATTCCTCAACACACGTGGTCGGAATGTTCCATCCATGTTTACGCTTACTGAAGAGGTGTTTAGCCCATTGGCAGTAATGTCGATGTGCTCCTACGAACCCGAGCTAGATCAATACAGCCTACAAGTCTCAAACGAAACAACACCTGGACTTTACGTCAAGATGAGTCCTGTCGACAAGGCTCAAGACCCCAGCCAACCTAGCGAAAGCAAGCTCACTGAATGCCCTCGGCGTGGCATACATCACTTGTTTATTCAACACAAGATCATTGCATTCCTGGCTGTGTGCAGCAAACTGATCTTGCATGATATGGACCATGATATGCTGTACTGTAGCGCCATACAGGAGGAGCCACCGTCATCTGAACTTGAGCTACCAAGCGACTTGGGATTCACAACCTTTGCTGATACACTCATGGTTGCTCCCTATCGAAACCGAGGGTCAGTCGAGTTCCTTAGATTGCGCGCGTATTTCGACGCTCTGTGCACCAATGCAAAGGATCACATCCTAGCATTGCGCGAGGATCCATCTTATTTCGCCGATGCTTTCAAAGACATCTGTGAACATAGCTCGGGATTGATACTAGACTGCTACGGGCAGATCAGCCCGCAAGTGGACAGCAAGTGTTTTCTGATGTGCAATGCTGCCAAGTTGGTTACCAATGCGTACAGCATGTTCTTCTCCTGGAGAGAACTCTATCATATAGCGGACCTCTTATCTAAGACATCTATGCAGAACCAGCGCGGTGATTTTGCTACTTTACTGTCGGAGTTCAACTGCACCGTTCAACATGTGTCCAAACTCATATACCAGATGCTGGAGTGTGCATCGATGTCGCCTAATGTTCGCAAATACTACATTCGGGCAGGCAGTCACATAATCATGCAGCGATGGAAAATTCGATCACTCGAGGAGTTTCAGCTGATGTCATCCTTTGAGTGTTTCAATAGGGGCGAAGACAGCGAGGACGTCGAGGGCGCAGCACTGTACCTTCTCTTGGACCATGTAACCAAGATAATGCAGGAGAACAAAGCAGCAAGAGACTTAGTTTCGCCTCGTGTCTCCGAGTTGTTCGCGCAGATGTCCGTTATAGGAGAGTGCGCGATGCAGTTGTCGGTGTGGTGCGGTACGCCCCAAGGATCCAGCTTTGACCTGTCCAAGCCACATCCCCATGCCCACCGTAATGGTTTTTATGAATGGCTTGACCATTTGGACCATGGTTACATGCCAGTACACCTCATCAATCCATTCCGAGGAAAACTGGATTATCCTGCCTACAAAGCTCGCAACCCAAAAACTGTCCGAGCCATGCGCGAGGCAGAAGACAATCTCGACAAATTTTGGGCGTATGTCGATAATTCTTACAAGAGAAAGACGGGAATTTCGCAGCACGAAGTCATTCGCAAATGCATAGCCGAGGGGGGCCCGATGCAGCGTACACCAGCCTGGGAGGATCATGTGAAGTCAAAGTCAATCCAGTCAGAGCAATTGGAGAGCATATACCAGCCATTCTCTGGGTTTTCCCACAACAGAGATATGCAAATTACTGGAGCGTTTGATAGACTGGCGGTAGTAGGAGAGAAGATCAAAGCAAAGACAAAGGGAAGCCCAGAGTCTGTGATGGGTGTTGATGTACCTCAGACACACATGTGCGGCACCGATGATGAAGAGAACGTCCCGCAGGTTTTCATGTTGGACAAGCGCGCCTTAAAGGTCATGAAAACGCTATTTCATGTTCCTCAGTTTGACCATGACGATCTCCCCAAGGGAGTAAAGTGGCATGAATTCAAGCGGGCTATGGCTCACATTGGATTTGCTGTTGAGAAACTGCAGGGCTCAGCATGGCAGTTCACCCCCGGTGAATCGCTTCATGTTCGTCGTGCCATTCAGTTTCACGAGCCGCACCCAGTCAGTGACATTACGTACATTATGGCAAAGCGATTTGGAAGGAGACTTGAGAGGGTCTATGGTTGGAACAGCGCTAGTTTTCGACCCGCTTGAGTGAACAGAGTTGCCAAGGTCTGGAGCCATTGATTGATTGGAGTTTTTGAGGTTTTGAGCATTTCGGGTATGGGAAAGGATTCGGTAATGTTTAATGAAGTTTGGGGAAAGAAGAAAGGGTTCATATGATGAAGGAAGAGCGCCAACTAATCGTTGGGTAAAAGGATTGGAGTTTCCTGACTTGAACAGGGTACGTGGTATTGAGGTCCGTTGCTCTGCTAGCCTAGGTTACCCGTGGTGAGTTTGCATGTAAAATATCAAAGAAATTTCAATTCGAATCATTCTACTTCTCTCAAGTCAACCCAACCTCCCAGGATACATCAAACCCATGGATGCAACACTACTCGCATCACTCTCCAAAAAACACCTACTGGGAGCATTAAGCGCAATCGGCGAGACCCGTGCCGTAGCTTCCCTCGACAACCGCCACTCAGGCGGCACATTATGCTGCAAAACCTCCACCTCAGACACCACCCCCGCCTTCTTCTGCGCCTCGACATCCGTCCGATGAATCCCCAACTGCGGCGTCGTATCCCGCGACCCCCTCTGAATAATCCTCACAATCTGGCTCAGGACGCCAAACTCAATCTTCAGCTTAAAACTATACAGCAGCGACTTGAACGTCGTCTGAATCATGTACAAGTTGAGAAACTCCATGGTGAGCAGCGTGGCGTCGAGGAAGACCAAGAGCAGATTCATGGCAACGAGCTGCCACATCCACTTGCGCGCCTTGCCGTCGAAAATGACGAGCATGAGCTTCCGCGTTTCGCACAGGTAGACGCACGAGATGAAGATTTCCTGGAAGGTGAAAAGGACCATTTGGATCTTCTCCATGATGCTGTAGCCGCGCGTGTAGATGGCGGGGTTCTTGGCGGTGTACTGGCGCAGGTTGAGGGTTACGGTGGGGACGCAGAGACAGATGGCGGAGAGGATTATGGTCCAGAAGATTAGGCGGAGCAAGTGCAGGTTCGGTGAGATGAGATGTAGACGGGAGTAGAGGACCATTGATTGGCCGGGGACCATGAGGACCCAGCCGACGGTGAGGAGGACGTTGTAGAGATCAGCGTTGTGGCCGACGTTGTTTTGTTTCATCCATGCGCCTGGAGTTGAGAAGAAGAAAAAAAAATAAACCATGTCAGTTTACTTCTGGCTTCTTGAAGATAACTCAGATGAAGGTGACTTACCTGTTGCATAAGGCACGATACTGAGTGCATTGATGATCAAACTCCAAAAGTACAGACCAGAGTATTTTTTGAAGATACAAAAGATGAGGACTAGAAGTTCGAGCGAATTGTACCATGCAATCGCTGTAAAGGCAGTCATTGCCCGTGGAAGCACTCGGTTAGCACCGTAAATGTCGAAATTGGCTCCCGTGATGCCATTGTCGTGCGCTGTGACGTCCGTCATTTTCGCTACTACCATGTCATGGACAAACACGAGAAATGAAATGTGCAAAACGCTGTGTTACCACAGTGCATACCATATTTACATGCTATATGTTCAACATGAATTGGACGGAGTATCAAGCCATGGACGAGGTAATCCTGTGTCAGCAACGAGTTTTGTTAATAATTGGGTAGTTTGGGGGCTATGGGGCTTGATTGGCGGGCATGTGACTAGTTTTCTGCAGCAAGGTAAGACGCGAGCGTAAGTCGGACTACGCGAATAGATCGTAACGCTATACTTAGAAGCTTGGCGAGCTATTCTCCGATAGCAAGATGCGATAAGCTTTTGCCAAGCCCCATTAGAACGACCGGAAAACAGGCGTACGGTCCGGAGATGCACGTCTTCAAAGAACGCGTCATGTGCTCTGGGTTCAGCTGCCTTACTAGGGATGGCTCGAGGCATGAGACTAGTTGTGTACCTCTCCGTAGACAGTTAATGGATGTCAGTATGCACACGTTGTTCGGAAACTTCCATATTACAAGGGTTCATTCAAAAGGCCGCCATGCGATTAAGATGCCAATCTATGCCAACAGCTAAAAGATGGCCACATGCTTAATTTTAGAGCAGGTTCCACATGCATATGCCAGGAAATCGAACGCTAGAATGACAAAACGCCTTGCATGCTATGCCAGTGCATTGTCCAAAATGAACAAAGTCATTCAAAATCAAGCGTCTAGTTCTCTGCGTGACCTGTAGGGCCTTGGTCCGTGTCTGTAAGGCATTGTTAGCAAGACACGCAGAGGAAGACGCTTATCCATGGAAGTACTTACAATCCATTGTAACAAAGGCACGATCTACCTCCTTCAGCCCCTCCAGACAATACTGCAGGGTCTCTGCAATGTCATGGCATGTCCTCAACGGAGTGTTTTCTTTCATGAGTACATCGATTTCTACACAGACGCCGTCACCAGCGTGGTAGACCTTGACGCTCTTAAAACCTTGAACAAGAGGTGCAAAGCGGTACGCCATGAACATCATCTTGCGTTCTGTGCGGCTATCGGCAGCTTCTCCAGTAAGACGAGCAACGTTCTCAAGACAAGTGCATGCCCAGTCGTAGATGATGTACAGCGAAAGGCAAGCAGCACCAACAGGATCGAGCCACCAGACATTAACCTGAGCACCAATGAGGGGAAACAGCAGGGACAAGGTATTAAAGTAAACATCTGTTGGGGTTAGCCTTGAAATGCGTGCAGTATGTGTGAGGGTAACTACCTGTTTTGCAATCCTGCGCGAGTGCCTGCACTTGTGTTGTCTTGACTCTGGCGCATCCAATCCAAATTGTTCCCTTGACAACAATGGTGGATACCATTGCGAAGATGGCTGCAGGTGGGAGCATGGCTACGCTGTGGTCACCACTAGGTAGCAGCTTGTTTACTGACTCTTGAAGAATTTGGAGAAATGAAATCACCATGATAATGGAGAAGACGAGAATGCCAATGGGCTCGAAACGCTTGCGACCGATAGGAAATCTTTTCTTCAGGGCATTCAGACGCCAGCCAACCAGCTTGTTCGTAGTCCAGATGATGATTGTGCAAAGCAAGTCGAGAGCGGAGTCCACAAGAGATGCGATCAAGGATAGCGAGTTTGACCAGATGGCTGCGACGCCCTTGGCAGCGAGCAGGAGAATGTTGACCAGGACATTGATCTGGGTTATTGTAAGTTTGAAGCTAGAAGACTTGTGACTTGGAACTCACGTTAATGGCCCATTTCACGTGCTTGGCTGCCTTTCGCCGTCTCTCGCGCTCCTCTTCAGGTAGGAATGGCTCCAGATCCTCTCCGCTGAGGCCCAAGGGCCCTCTGTCTTCAGCTACACCGTCGTGATCAGTATCCCGGGGGTTCATGCTGTCGACAATGTCGTCGGCGAGTGACGTCACAACCATGTCCACCTCAGCCCAGTCGTCGATGCGTTCGTTTTGTTCCTCGTAGAATTTGCGTACTTGCTTATTCCTTATGCTTTTGAGCTAAAGCGAACATGTCAGCATCCGGCGTGGTCAGATGGAGCTGTCAACATACGCTCTCTTCGCTTTTCCTGTATACTTCAAGTGCGTCGTGGTCGATGCTATCGATCAGCTTGCGCTTCAGGCCATTTGCGTGGTTGTCCCTCAACGTCTGCTCGATGGCATCGCGGAACCGCTGCCTCGGCTTGATCTTGTTGGTAGCTCCATATCCGCTTTCCAGGTCGATACGCTGGTACTTTGTAAATTGGTCGGGGTCGCCGTAACTGTTGATGTTGCCCTTGATGTTGCCTGTGCTGAGAAGTCTGTGTCTACCTCCAACCATGACTGAATACTAGTAGCGGGTTTTAGAGTTTGCAGGGTATTCTTGATTGCAAAAGAACGGGAGGGAAGTTAAGGGTGTGGTCGAGTATGGTTGAGAAAAGAAAGCACACGAGGAGGAAGACGCGACGCGCAGTCAAACCAGGGCGGGTACACGAGGCCGGAGAGTTTAGAGGGGTGGATGCATGATAGCGTGTGAGAGCGCATCATCATCAGCAGTAGCCACACGGAAAAGGACCGTGTGCCTGCGAGAATGTGCCATGCTTGGTGGAGCTTGTGCGGGCTTGTATTCAACGCGCAGGAGGAGAAGCCATGAATGACATCATCATCCTTGGCAGGCACCAACCACAACCATCCCATCACCATCGCGCTCCACCATCCACTGGTCGGGACGGGAACTGACGTCAATCCACGTTTCGCATTCAAAATAACGCTGTCAAGGTCTCTTTCCATCGTCAACACACGATGCACTGTGCCGATTATCCGTAAGTAAGCCAGCAACCAGCCATTCGGGTCACCTTCCTCCCGCCACTCCCGCAACCCATCCATGTGTCCAGCATGTCCTCTCGTCATTGTACTAATTCTGCTAGGTAGCATACCTTCTAGACCCTGTGGCTCGCAATCTTCCGACGACCTGTCGCCTTCTTATAGCCGTGCACATGGACTTCTTGTCTCTACTGCAACTACCACATTGTGGCATCACGTGACCCTTCCAGCCAGCCAAGACGTGATAAGCCCACCGGTACTTTCATCGACTGCTTTACATAAGCAAGGCCACCACATAAGCGCCCCCCATGTTGCCCCGAGGGAGAGGCGAGGCTCACCAAATCATTTCCGTGCTTTCCGCATCGCATCACACCACATGCACATGTTATAACCCGCCCATGTGTCCTTTTGCATCGTGAGCCTCCTGCCTCCAGAACCACTCGCCATGGCACCCTCAACAGCCCAGCATCGTCGCAATGGCGATGGGAAAGTCTTGTTTCTCTATGCCGTCCTCGCTGTAATAGGCCTCTACACTATGCGCATCGTGACCTCGATGACCGAGAACCCGGTTGGCTTCATGGACATGTTCGCGTCTCGCAAGCTGCCTGATGGCACCCCTCTCAAGACAGACTACACCGGCATTAAGTTCCACGACATAGGCTTAGCTTTCTTAGTCTCCGCATTTGTATTCGGTCCCCCGCGATGGAACGAGGCCCTCTACTGGCAGCAAATCCACTTTTTGCCTCAGCTCGCACCCGTTATCGCAATTATGAATGTCGAGGCCTGTCGAAATGGGAACCGCGGTAAATGGCTAACCTAGTGAGTCGCGCACGGGACAGGCAGTATTCAACCGGCTGGATATCGCAGGACACCACTGTCCTGTTACTAACAATTCACAGTACTGCCATCTGGGCAATCCTATACCAAAATATCGGGGGCTCTTTCTTCATCACCATTTGGTGGATGTTGTTCCATTACCAAACAAGTCCCAGGTCTTACTACCAAACCGGGCGCACGGTACCGCTGCCATATGCTCGAGTCATATTACCAGCAATCGTATTTCTGTACATCATTCCCACTATTGCCATTTGGTACCCCGCAGACAAAGACATCACCACACTACAATCCGTCTTGGCGTTCTGGCAATGGACCCCCGTACTAGTCAATGTCCCGCTCTGGCTCGTCTCCCTTACCAGCTCACTGAACACAACCAACCAAAAGAAAAACGCCGACGTCTTTCATCTGAGGATCATGTACGCGGTTATGTTCTTCTTCTCGGTGGCAGTGCACTGGTATAGCATTTACGGAATCTCCGTCTCCGAACATCCCGATGCAACTTACGCTCGCGTCTTCATCCCTAGTACGTACACCTGGAGCAAGGATATTCCGTGGGGCTTGCTGTGGGTCTTCCAATGGGATTGGATCGTTATGGGCATCATGTATATTATCCCTTCCTGGATCGCAGCGTGCGACGTCCAGCGGATGAAGAAGGGCGAAGCCTCGCTAGAAAACGTCTTTGAAAGCTTTCTTGTGATCATGACGATTGCCATTGGTGGTGGTCCAGGGGCTGCCCTCTCAGCAGTTTGGTTCTGGAGGGAGGGCAATCTGGCCGCGATTGAGGATGCATCGGCAGTGAAGAAGGGGCAGTGAGTGGATAGTATGGTGAAATCTCACGCGGCTGAAGGGTCGATAAGACCGTTGGTGGATTTGGAGATAGAAGACCTTGAAAAGTCACCCAGAGTCATCTCATAGTATTTGAATCATTTTAAAATCCCTCTCACTCTGGGACAGACACTGCTCATGCTCTTTCTAGAATCGGCGCAAAATCATCTCTGACATCCTCCAGCAACGGCGACTTCAGTACATTCTCCCAATCATCCTGCAACACATTCTCCAACACACCAACCCCAATATCCACCAGCTTCTGTGTACTAGCTGCATCTGCCCATTCGACACGGGTAGGCCAGAAGGCCACATGCACTGCCCAATGCACCACCATTCTCCGCACCCACATTTTCCCCAACGCCTCACCATCCTTCCTCTCAGCAACGTATGTACGCAAAAACGCCGCAAGCAAGCCTCTCCCGCCTCGAAACCGATCGAGCAAAAACGCCTCTGCAGCGAATTGCCCAACATCCGTTGCGCTGGTCCCCCTGCGCACCATTTCCCAATCCACAACCGTGAGACTGGCGGGTTGAGCCTCGGTCATACGTACGAGCACGTTGCCGGGCCAGAAGTCGCCGTGACACACGCACTCATCATCTGTGGCGAGTAGACTGCCAAAGTCCTCGTTGATCCGGTGCGCGAGCTGAGTGTCGTGGCCGAATTGCTCGAGGGCGAGGTGCAGGTTGCGGTAGGAGTGGCGGTATATGGCGACTCCGATGGGACTGTTTCTTGCATTGCTATCTTGGTCTTCGAGCGTGAGAGAGGTGTTGGGAGAGGAAGTGTGCAGTGCTGCGAGCCAGGTTGCTAGGTGCTGGCCGATTTGTGAGGGGTTGAGGTCTAGGTCTGTGTATGCGTCTTTGAGGTTGCGGGCTCCGCCGTCTTCGATTTCGAGAAGCTTGTTCTCCTTGTTGTAGCTTAGGAGTTGGACGGCGTGTACAGTTGTGCTTGGTGGGTTGTTAAAGAAAGGCTTGCTTTTGGAGGCGAGTTGTGTGAGGATGTTGGCTTCGTAGTCCATTCGAGTGGGGTCAAAGGCAAAGTTCTTGTTGCTGTGGAGGTATGGTGCAGCGTGCTTGAAGATGCTTGTGGATCCGTCCTCCTTTGTACACCGGTAGACGTAGTTTGCGGTGCCGCCTGACAGTAACTTTACGTTGGTGTGTCCTGACTGGGTTGCAGAAAGGAAGTCGCTGAGTCCTTTCTCCGTTGTGAGACCGTATGGGGATGCCATGTTGTTGTCAATTTTGAAAGAATCGTAATTCTTCTAGGTCTTTTAGAAGCAATTCTGCTTGGTGGCAAGTAATCTTCCTTTCTGTGCTGGAGTGATACGGGGAGTCTTATAAAATAGTGAATAAATCCTGTGATGAATTATTGATCTTTCACCCAGCTACATGCCTGTCGGCCTCATGTACAATGCTCAGGATGCAATCAGTATGATTACACATGAGTCATTTGCCAAGGTGCGCTGGATCATCAGCGTTCGCAGGTATTCAGTAGGAACTCACGTAGGTGGGGCAGCTCGTCCCAAACTAGATTAGCTCCATCTGATCTTAGAGCACGTATTCATCGTATGTACTAGCATGATTTCTCCCATAAATATGGACTAGCCATGACAAAAAGAGCAAATGCAAAGCTCTGAAAACCCTGTGGGATCTCAACCCAAGCATACACTTCATTTCCTTCTCATTGCAGCGAGTAACATGCGCGCATGTGTTGGATATCCCGTTCTTGGCTGACCGGTTTATTGCATGTCACACAAGCCTCAGCCTTGCCATGTAGTGGTTCACGCCTCACTCAGAGTGCCGGCTTATAAGTAACCTCGCACAGCCTTTTCATCCCATCAATCTAACTCCACTCATTAAGATGACCCATTTTGCAGTTTTAGTGCCAAAATGACTACCTCCAGCGATGAGCTAGTTGGAAAGCTCAGTGCTATGACTATTGTGGGAGATGAAGACCAGGAACGTGTTGACGTAAATGCTCGCCGGGCAATTGGCTGCAATAATACACCAGAGGAAGATTGCCAGAATTCTATTCAACCTACCAACGTAGTTAGCTCTGATGCCCAGACTGAAACTGAGTCTAGTGAGTTCAGGTATTTCATGGGTTAATTTATCTCTGAGAGGCCCTTTCTTTAGGAGACGTCAGAGAAGATGAAGGAGAGCATGTGCATAGTTTCAAGTGGTTTACTGACAATCCCAGAACGAATAGATTTCTTGATTGACACACTCGGAACGAACGAATTTTCCATCAATAAACCCGCAATCCGCTGCTTGCTTATACATTTTGAAAGAGATATCAGAGACATAATTCGAAGATTTATTCATGAACCTTCAACTGGGGATTTCATATGGAAGACCATGGAGGAATGTTACAATGAAGCTGTCAGCCCATCCGGTACTCTAAACGCTCATGGTTTTTTCGACTATTTAAAGGATTCTCCGTGCATACGAAGTATGGATTCTGATTTCGAGAGTCAAGATCATGCTGGGAATTTCAAAGGAGAACGATCATGGGCAGACTTTTGGGTCACAGTGTTAGACTGCTCGCATGGAGGACCTACACTGTTTTGTCCCCGAAACAGTAGCGATACCAACCTCGGAAGCTCAGACGATATCCCGAGGTACCTATTCCGAGTCTTCGATGAAAAAAGCTCCGGCATAAACAGCGAACAAATTTTTGAATCTTCAGGAAGGAACAGATACAATACCGAAAAAGGTCCTAATGCCGATCTTGTGAGTTTGCCGCACTCAACAGCAACAGATTTGATATTCTACCATTTGAAATCCAAGAACGGTGAAAAAGACATGGACGACAATCTGGTATCTTGGACGAGCTCACTGCTTTTTGCTATACAATATGCAGTATGCATACGTTACCTCCGAACACGTGGTAACAATATCAAAATATGCATGGTGGATACGCACAAGTTCCCTCAAGGGCAATTGTACGAGACATCCAGTTGATCGAAAAATATCTTCCCACGGTTGAAAACTCGGGCAACGAAATTGAAGATTTCTTTTTATTTCGCCTCAGAGATGAGAGGTACTACAATGGCGAGTACTTGTCGCAAGGTCTTCTGAATCATGCAGGTAGATCTTGTGTGGTCAATTTCACACAACTGGAAAGCGCCGGTCTCTACCGGCTGTATCCCGAATTCCAAGACGTAAAAAGTAAATCCCAATGGGCGGACCGAGTGCTCGATCTACGTAAAAAATGGTCTCTGCAGCGAACAACAACCAACGAGGAAATTTCAGATGCGCTCAAAATTGCAAAGGAATGCTTTGACGCAAGCGACATAGCTTACGTATTGTTAGGGTTTAGGAATCGTAAACTATCATGTGAGTAGCATCATCAGTACATCTTCTTGGCTTTTCCCTGAAAAAGAATCCAACCTAACAAGCAAAGACAAAATCAAGCTTACCAAAAATCCGGCTCCATCGTGGGCCGACAAGCCGGTTGAAGTCAATCGGTATTGGCAGGCACTAGAGATATTGAAGCATTTAAGAAAAAATTTGGGGCATGATGCAGGGATTCGAGACATCTACAGGGTTACACAGTAGTATCCGGATCATCAGCCGATTACAGAAATAGTGTGCTCAGATAAATGAATCATTGAGTCTTTTGTCCCCAAACTGTCTCCTATCTAGTTTTTTTTGTATTGATTTCGATTTTGATAGATAGCCCTGAGTAAGTAGGACATGAAAAGAAATCCTTATGAAACTCTTTCTACCAACCTTCAATCTGCAATGGAGCCTCAAACATGGTAGAGCAGAAAAAGATTTAAAATACTCAGAAACTTATTGTCAAAAGGTCTGTTCAAAAGATGTTCATTATGAGAATGATTTCTATACAGTACTCCATGTTATGGGCTGGGCCTTTCAGGATACTGTTAGGAGCCAAAGGCTATTGTATTACTTAGGTCTACATGAAGTAGCGAAGGTCTAGTATCTACTTATAGTGTCCGTTCTCTTACTAAGATGAAGTAGGG